TTTAGCCCTCTGGTGGGAAAGACTTTAAAACAAAACTTACAACAGTTACTTTTCTCAACAACTGAAATTTAGAATAGTGTGATTGAGAAAAATATGCGAACTGTTTGCAATTTCAAATTAACATTGAAATGTACAGGCTTAGAATTTTCTACAGTAAAAAGTTTTCGGAACTTCAGTATTCAAAAAAGTATACAAAAGCTAGACGTAAGAACGTATCCAATGAGCGAGCATTGGATTGCGAAGCAATCCGAAATGAACTGCGACAGCAGTTCCGGTGGTTGGCAAGCGCCAGCGAGCAGGGGGCGAAGCCTTCTAGTATAGTAAAATTCGTTAAAGAAAGATAGTTAAACTTACTTTTTAATATAGTAACCAGTAGGTTTAATGCTTTAACGTTGCATTTTATATCATACTTATAATTTTTGATATTTAGTGGTGAAAAAATTACTTATAATGAAAAATACTAAACTAAAAGTAACTCAAATTTCGCTACCACTAGAAAATAATATTTACAAAAGCCAAACGAATAGGCACGTTTAAGACCGTTTTCTTGAAAATTAACCAATCGTTAAGGGATTAACCAAGAAGCAAATGCAAAAAAAAAAAATCAAATAATTAAATAAGATATTTTAAGTGTTCTTTTCCTTGATAATATTTCCCTTTTTTGTACTCTGGACCAGAAGTTTTAAAATTAATAAGAAACTTGAAAGAAAAAGCACGAAAAAAATTCATCTTTCTTATACATAAGTTTTTCTTGAGTACAGGAAAAAGAAATCATGTTATTTCTTGCGAGTAGAATTAATAAAAAAAATAGTTTTATATAACGAGATAAATGTTTACATTTTCCAATAATAACGATAAGCCAGCTAGCTTTACTTTGTGAAAACATGTTTTCTTATAGTATCGAAATTTAAGCTAGTTTTAGTTTAGTATTCATCTATTTAAGTCATTTTTTTTACAACTACATATCTAGAATTCAAATCATCATATGAAAACCGTGGGAAGTGTTGCTACCGAGGCAACTGTTTACAAACTATTTAAAATGACTGTAAATCGAGTACAGTGCACAGCAATTAAAAAAAGACATGTTTTAGGGTTTTTGTTCTGATATTTTTATAATTATTTCGAAGAATAATTTCAAATTTTTTTAAAAATCTATCTGGTCTTGTGATATCGCTATTTTTAACAGCTTGTGTCCTAGTTTAAATTTTTGTTGGTTACATCGAATCGATGAAGCAAAATATTTAAACCCTTTGGTCGATTTGTGTTACATTTTTTATGAAAAATCAAAATCTGAAATGAAAAATGACAGCTTACATTTAAGATTTCAAAGTTGCCATTACCATCTCCAAAGGGAGGTGAAAGATCGAGTTTGATATCATTGAATAGTTTTCAATGCATATTTCTCGACATATTTCACAGTTTTACGACTTTTTTTACAACTTGTATGAAGAAAGAAAGTAGTATGGATACAAGTAATTTAAATTCAAGGCAAAATTCATTTCCAGGGCAGCAAAAAACTATCTTACAGTACCTATATATATTTGCCATTTATTATTAGAGTTCCTTTGGAGTCCACCAACCGAGAAATGTTTTCATGGTTTTCCTCACCATGTAACTTAAATGCTTGTTAGTTCCACCTGAAACTCCTCTACAAAAGCATATTTCTCCCAATACTTGATCCAGGAGATCCCTTGTAATCTGGATTGGGTTCGAAATTATAAGGCTACGGAGTTGAACATCAGTAGTCATAAACCCCCAAAATTTTGGTCGGCTGTCCAACAACGGTTATAGAATAAAATAAAATCTTTTTAAACATTTGGAAATGAGTTTTGAACTCTAGCCATCTTCAGTTTCCATCACTGATTTTAGATGAGTTAGTACCTGTCTAAATATTAGTTTTATTTTTACATTTTTCTATTAATTTATAACAAAATTGTTCTGAAAGTAGAAAAATAATAATTCCTAATTTTGTATAAATATAAATATGGCCACATTTTTTTGGGCGATGATAGCAATTTAGAAGAAAAATGAGAATATAGTGTTTAGGAAAAAGAAACACCTATTTTTTTAATCTATTTTTTTATGACCTATAATTGTTTTTATAACTTTTTTTGGTAAAAGGTCATATTTTTTAACAAAATACAGAAAACAAAATTTCAGTTATCTCATTTCACTTTTTTTTAAATACAAGAAACTTTGAAGATTGTTTATTATTATAACCCTAAATAAAACACTTACTGACAAATCTAAACCTTATCGAGTTGATTTTATCTCGATAAAGATTACTTTTTCCATCTTAACAAAAAAAGTGTCATAAGAACCAGATAAATGCAAAAGGAAAAAGAAAGCGGCGTGTTATGTAACAAAATGACTTAAGTACAATTCTAAATATAAGCAGCAACAATTGTTTGTTTTTCAACAACAAGCTAGCAGCAAAATTTTTTGGATAAAGCAATCGTATTCCAAAAAATTAAGTTAATTTGCTGTATTCTATTTTTAAAAAAATACAAAACTCTGACTACAAGTGAAAAGGTTAAAAAATTCAAAAATGGAACATAATAAATCATAGTTCATTTTACGCAACTTACACCATTTTTATCTTTAACTCGAAAGTAGTTCAAGTTCGCTCTTTGTTATTATTTGGAAGTGATGCAGTGGTATGTGTAAGACTGCATTCAGTTGGATACGAAGAGTTCGATCATGATTATTGCAATAATTGTATCTTTAATCTCGATTCCTTTCGGTAAGTAGAATTTTGTATTAATTTAGTTTTAGTGTTTAAATACATAAATGAATTATTTGTAAAGAGCCAGTGTTTTGCAGAGTTAGGCAAGGTTAGATATTTGACATTTTTGATTTTGTTGAAATTTCCAGAATATGTTCTTTATGCAAAACTATTATACATATGTTTTTTATTTTTGCGATTTTTTTCCTGAATTTTACATTAGGGGGTCAAAACTAAAGATCCTGTGGCATTTTGAGAGAAACATATCATTTCACATGTATCGTTAGTTTTTTGAAACGAGTGAGCCATTAAACTGATATTTATTTTGCTTTTTAATTCCTCAGCAATTAATATTAAGATATCTATATAACTATATGTATTAAGTTCGCCCAATTCTACTCCCACTTCACACATTCCCTCATTATATAGCTCAAAAATCTGAACAATCAATGCCTCTTCTAGGCAGCGCACTGCGATTTGAGTTATGTTCTATTTGACTTTTACGCTCTTAGAAGAAGAGGTTTCCGAGTTAAATACTAATCGAGGTGTAATTGCGAACTAACACTCAATTAACATTAACCAACATTTAGAATAGAATACGATATTGCTTTTTGGAAATACATTCATTTACAGGTTAGTGTGCTTTGGCGTATAAACCTTTAGGAGTATAAACCTTTGTCTAGTAGAAGGACAGATCGAAAAATTCAAAGAAGGACATCACGACGAATACATTCAGGGCTAATGCGGGATTCGAACTCACCGCCTCATATATTTTCTGGGCTGCCCACTACTACGCTTTTAGCAAAATATTTTATTGCGTGGTAGTCAATTAAAATCTAAAGCTTATAGGTGTGTTGTAATTTTTGCCAACATTTTAAAAGCCTCAACACAAAAATGTTTGACTTGATAGGAGATTCGCTGGAGTACCTGCCCATGATATCGGACACCAGACTCCTTCATCTGAGTTGTGCTAATTGGCAACTGAGACTGTTGGTATAGAATTGAAAATGTTTGAACAAAGTGTATTTTTATATAAGCTTTCGAATCACTTCCAAGTAGTGGTGTGAAAAAAAACTTTAAATCAAAATTTTAAAGCAAAGAATAATACATTAATGCACGAACTTAGCTACCACTAGACGAAATTTCTCTGTAAAGTGTGGAAAGTCAGTAGGCCTGTATTTTTATCCTGATAATAATGAGTCTTGAATTTAATGTAAGTAATTTGTGTATCTAAAATAAATATTTTGCAATTAATACTAACTTTGAGACTGATAGATCCATCAACTTGATTTTGATTTCAATGGATAGCGAAGAAAACACATAAGGAATGCCAACTTTCAACCCTTTTTGTAAAAATTTATTCTAGAGGTAGCTAAGTTTATGTTTAAATGTATTATTTTGTTTTTCATTTAAACTGATTTTTCTTACACGACATATAAATTATTTAAATGTTCATAAACGGCGCCACTTTGTTCCAACTCAGTCGAGATGAGGCTTTTAAAATAATGGCAAAATTACCAAAAAGTTTGAAAGCTTTGGCTTTTAAGCGTCTACCACTCTATCAAATATTTTACGAAAAGTCTAGTAGGTGGCAGGCCTGTTTAAATAGATGTCAGTAAAAATGTGATATTTTAATTTTTTATGCATGTCTTCATAGTTGTTAAAACTTCAAAATTTTTAATTTTATAGACAAGGCCTGACAATATTTGACAATTTTTTCTCAGCATATTTGATGTCACCCTCTCGAACCACTGAGATTGAGTCCTAGAATGTGAAAACCCGATCATTAGATCATAAGTTATTCAGGGTGGTCTGTTTATTTTTTGCGATCTGTACAAGCTCATAAAAAACGTATCAGGTATATATTATATACACTTGTCTGCTTCATTGAAAATATTACGTCATTGAAAATATACTTGCCAACTTCGCCAAAGACTTAGCATAAACCATTGCAAACGTATCAATAAATATATTAAAAAGGAATTTTAATCTTGACAGCATTTCGTGCTTTCAACGTCAGGGGGCAGTATTTGTAAAGGGTTTTTCAACTCCCGTTAGAAGATTCGCTGGTACTGATTTTTTTTAAACATAATTTTTCGACATTTTGCCAAATATCTAAAAAAATACTGAATATAAATTAATGAAATTTGGTATGGATATAGCTTATTCCCTGATAATAAAGTATACAAAACAAAAATGAAAGATCCATTCACTGGCAAGACCTATTGCCAATAAATCCAATGTAGTCTGAACTTAAGGATAAAAGATGACAATAAAAGTGAAGCTTGTACAGTGTGTGTTGCCTCTAGTATGGTGTATGTTCACCCCTGACAGACAGACAGCATGCACAACGAGTATGCATGCTATTAATAAGGGAGTTAAGGAGGACTTGTGGAAGACCCTCCCATTCTTCCACCAGCGCAATTTTTAACTCCAGAATGGTTCTGGGGGGAGGTTGGTGCATCGCAATAGCTCTCCCAAGAGCACCCTAATCATGTTCAATAGGATTCAGGTTAGGGAATTCGGCTGGCAAATACATTCGTTGAATATCCTCGCTTTCCAGATACTCATCAATCATGAGAGCCCTATGTGGCCTCGCATTGTCGTCCATAAAAATGAACTCAGGGCCAACAGCACCCCTGAAAAGACGCACATAGGGCTCTAGGACCTCCTGCCTCTACCTATCGGCCATTGTCAAACACATGGAGCAGTGTACGGGTATCTTGCATGATCCCTGCCCAAACCCTGAGTCCTCCACCAGCATAATGGTCCCTTTCGATAATGTTGCTGGGATGGTATCGCCCTCCATGTCAATAACCGTCCAGAATCAGGTTGTAGACTGAATCTGGACTCATCGACGAAGAGAACATTAGCCCATTGAAGCTGTGTCCAATTCTGATGTTGTCTGCACCATTCTGCACGTGCTCTTTTGTGGGAGTGAGTGAGTGGGGGACAAATAACGGTCTTCCTGGCATACAGCCCTCTTTCATGGAGTCTCCTGGAAACTGTCTGACTCGAAATTGATGTTCCTGTAGCAGCCGCGAGGCCCCTAGACAATTGAGTGGCTGTAGCCGTCCTCTGGCGCTTAGCTGAAAGGACCAAATACCGGTCTTCATTGGCCTTTGTAGCTCTCGGACGACCTTGTCCTGGTCGTCTGCATACTGTCCCACTAGTGTTAAATTGACTCCACAAATTGGAAATGACGCTTGGTGGTATATCCAATTCCGTAGCAATCTGAGCATGGGACTGGCCTGCCTCAAGTCTACCCACAATTCTCTACCTCTTACCTTCGTCTAAACGATGATGTTCACTCATTTCACCTAAAAACCAACAAGAAACAACAAGAATATTAAAAAAAATTGCACTGAAATCTGCAACTGTGTTGAAAAGTAAAGTGAAATGAGATGAGTCCTAGATAATTTTATTTTATTGGGCAATACTTCCTAGTATTTTATTTTATTGGGCAACTGGGCCGCGAAGCGGCCCCTATCCCATTCATCTGGAATTTTAGAACAGTTTTGGTTGAGCAATGAGGTAAGCAGGCAGTGGAGTTGCTTTTATGAATGTTTCAAGCTCTTTGCTTGAATAACTAAAAAGGAATCAGAAATAATTTGAGCAGCTTGCTCTAAACTGTGTTTGTTTGATTTTGGAGTTGTTCAGAATTGTATCAGCCTGAGTAAACGTTATTTTCAGAGAGGTTGATGAAATTATTTGTTTTGATAGTTATGATATGAGGCGTCGGAGGTGAAACGTGCAGCTATTGGTCTGTAGTTTTTATCTTTGATATAATTTTCAAATTTAAAGATTTCATTAAAATTTGCTGTTTTACATTCTATGGCTTTATCGAAAAAATCTGCGTTTAGCTTGTATATATGCTGTGATATAGTTGGTATTTTGAGGTCTGCATGTATATTGGTATTCCGGATGAACCATCTTGCACAGGTTATTTTTCTAAGGATCTTGTTTTGAAATGAGATGAACAGCTCGACGAGGACTTTTATACCTCCTGCTGGCTTAGCAACGCCCACAAGAATGCGTAAACTTATCTCAGGGCCAATAGCGCTACAGTTACCATATATGGCAATCAACTGTCTAGGTTTTGTGCGGTATTTAGATGTCATTACGTTAAGGGTACTAAGCTGCGCAATGGTTGAAAATACAGAATATGTCATTACGTTTGGACTACTAAGGGATATTTATGGTAACCCGTGCTGAGGCCTGTTCTTTCTAGGAGGTGTTGAGTCGAAGCACTATTTTTTTACCTGAAATTAAGATGTTTAAACTTCTTTAAGATCCGGCAAACGAAATTTATTTGAGCAATATATTAGAATAGAAAGATAAAAAAAAAGAAATAGTCACGTTTTGTTATGAAGCCAGTGAAGGAAGCAAGATTTCCTGTAGAGTTCTTTTTCCATGAGATATAGTTAATAATCAAAAAGATTAATTTTGGACACTGACAACGTCAACAGATGTACATCAATACTAGCCCCCTAATGTTTTAACAATGTTTAACCTTTTCGCGCCCACTGTCACAAATACGTGCCAGCATAAAACCGTATCAAGCAGGGTAAAAAGATAAAACTGGTAATCAAAGTAATTCGTTAGCAGTTTATTTGTGGGCGGAATAATTGTTTGATTTATTTAATTCTCCATTACTTTGTTCAAAATAAAACTATTTAGTTATACTTTGATCTAACATTGATTACATATATGATTAAAGTAACAATAATTAAATTAAAAGCCAAGTAAATCTGTCAAATTAGCAACGACTACATTTAAGTTACCGTTTTTTATTTAACTACATCCTGATTCTGATTTTGTACGAATGCATACCTGCCAACTTTCAATCCCTTTCATTATCATTTTTCACAGTGGTATTAAAATGGAATTAAAACTTCAATTTTAAGCAAACAAATACATTGTATTTGTGAAAACTTAAGTTAACAACCATGATAGTAACGCATATTAATATATGTGCTTAATTTTTGTAAGAATAGTGGTGATCAAAATCATCTAAA